AGGGATGTGGGATTTTAAGGAGGAAAATTGGGATTACTTTGAGAAAGCAGGAGAGTTGGGCACATGCCTTTCATTATTTCATTATTGCATTATAGAGCATTTACTTTGAGGGAAAACTTCAGGACCGTATGGATGCTTTCATTCTTCCAGTCACATGTCTGTACAAATGTATGAACATTTACTACATCTACTGTAACTAGAGTTGAGGTTTTATTGATCAAGAACCGCAGCCCCTGCTCAAATATCACCTGAAGTCGGAGCACTCATTAACATCAAACCAATAACAAGATAAGAAGGAGAATTCATTGAATTTCACTTTTAATTAAAGTTTTTCACACCCATTAACACAGCAACTGGAGAACATCTGTAAGTGGCTGAAGCGTCACAGTATAAAAATCTCTACCTGCACAGGTCCAGAAACACAACAAGAACAACAACTGCACATGGAAACCAACTTCCACCAGAGAAATGAAGGAATTCGATATCAAGTAACGGACCGGCACTTTGCAGCTGCATTTTTCAGAGCGAACCTGTCAAGACAGGAAGACTTGAGAAACACAGTGTATTTAAAATAAAATTTATATATACAGCATATTTTTAAAGCAAATCTTAGCGAGAAGTGTGACTAAAGCCAGCGTCAGTATAATATTCAGCTCAGTCTCTCTCTCTCACACACACACAGGTATTGACACTTTTCTCAATTCTCATTTTAAATGTCATCAGTCAGGCCTCTCTGGCCTGTGTCTAATTAAACAGCTATTGAGTGCAGAAATATACAGACTGATTTCCACCACAACAGCAGGGTGGATAATGGGAAAGTTAATTGTAGTAAGTTGATTCTGGTAATTCCTCTGCTGATGTAATAAAGGTTAGCTGCACAGGCGCAGTGGCGATTAGAGATGCTGTAGTTTAATACCCTGACAGCTGCTGGGTAAACTGTCGTAACATCTGGTACGTATGGTGTGTTCGAGCTTATTACCGTTGTTTTTTCAAGCTCCATCATCAGCTAGCTCTTTCCTGGTGGTTAACTGCTAAGTTGTGACATCAAGGAAGAATTCAAACAGTGGTCTGACATTTTCCCAGAATGTCAAAGTTAAGATGAATAACTCGAGTCCTGTTGGCCTCGGCTCTTGCCGTCTTTAGGGGTCCCCATCGCAGATCATCTGCCTCCATCTCACCTTATCTCTGGCTCTGTCACGTCATCTTTCTGCTTCTCCTTTACTACATCCACGAATCTCCTTTGTATCTTCCTCTTTCCCTCCTGCCCAGCAGCTCCATACTCAACATCCATTGTCCACAATATCCACTATCCCTCCTCTGCTCATGTCCAAACCGCTCAACCCTCTGCTATACTCATTACTAATCCTGTCCATTCTGATTACTCCTAATGAAAATCTTCAACTCTGCCACCTCTGCCGCTTGTCTTTGTGTTAGACCACACATCATAGCAGATCTCGCTGCCATCTTATAAACCACTCGTCTCCACCATTTCCACCCCGGCTCCGCTCTCTTCTTCCCCTTTCTTGTGCACCGTTCATTGTTTTGGATGACTGACCCCAGGTATTTACACTCCTCTACTCCTTGCGATTTCAGTTCAAAATATCATCCAAAAGCTGACAAGAAAATGAAGCGAGTCAGATGTGAATAATAAAAGATTCGGGTAAAATATTCTTCATAAAAACTTTTAAAACTCCAGTTTGTACTTTGGTTTGCATTCATTGTGATAAAAAATAATTAACTGGTTGAATTTATTTAAGTTACAAGATGTATGTACTGATGAGGGTCTATCTCACAATTTGCAGAGTATGAACCTGTGACATATTAACCGAGAACAGCACAGCCCATCCAAGCAGAAATACCAGATTAAAGGCATTGTTTTCAACTCTATTAAAAGATAAACCACATGAAAACAGTTATAAAAATTGAACACACTCAAACACATCCTCCATATATTAGCTGCATTTTTATATACACATTAGTGTCTGCAGGAAATCCTCACCTATAGCACAAGGAGAGCCACAACAGCACAATAAGAATCCACTGAGATTTAGTACTGAAACTACTGGAACATTTTAGGCATGCAAAAGAAACATCGACAACCAAACAATTTGGAAGTTTGAGTAAAAGAAACAACAACAAAGTCTACAAGCAGGCACTGTATGTTGCACACAAGTATGCAGCAGGGATTGCAACAGATCAGAGTTTCACACCATAACAATCCAACCAACAGAGTCACTGTATTAAAAAGCACGACGATAGTGGTGCTACAAGTGAGCTACAAACACCAGGTGAGAGCGGTTCTCGTATAATTAAACGAAGCTTTGGGTGGACGTGTGAGGAACTCTCAGTAATTTGCATCAGTCTGATGTCTCTGACTTATTTTCTTTGTGAAGTCGCTCTCCTCTGCTGGGCACTCGAGGTTGCAATCACTTCCAATTTCTTCTAATTCTTCAGAAGGACGACAGAGAACAGCAACAGAAGGCGGGGCGGCTGCTCCCGTTAAAGCACACAAGGTTGTTCTCTCGACGTCTCTTTCCTGACTCGTCTGCTTCCTCCCCATCGGACTTCATTAAAGATGAAACTGTATATCTGAAAATGTCTGTCATAAGCACTTCTCCCTCGCTGGTGCATAATTTGCATTTCACAGACAAGTGTATATACACAATACAAACCCAACATACATCGAAGAGTCGTTTCAAAGCATTCAGTTTACAAAATACAACATAGAAAATTAACAACTTTGGACAAAAAAAGGAAAAAGAAAGGAAATCAGGCTCAAAACACACACTCACACACACTCACGTATACCCACAGTGTAAGGCTTTAGGGTTTAATTAATCCTTGCACACATCATGCAAAGACCAGCGCCATGTTCACACTGTGCAGCTGGTACTTGCTGTGACAAGTTTTCTAATCTGCTCAAATGAGACATTGAATAAAGTTACACAATGCACAATGGTATGATCGTTTGTCTACTGCCAACAAGGCAAATGTACAGTACAGTGCAAACGTCTAAATCCACCCTTCATCTCTTTATTCATTTGCTCCCAAGGAGACAGGCTTTCGTGTCATTTTTAAGGTGGCCTTGAGCAACAGTTTTCCTTCGGCAGCTTTTTCACTCATCTTCAGTCCAGTCCTTGTACCTGACCATTTTCAGACTCTGTTAAGCCACTGACCTATGTGTCTACACATAAAAGACAATTTAGAAATGAAGCGATTTTAAATAAGTATATTTTGGTACTTTGTTACTAGCAGCTGATCACACAAACCATCGTTTGCTCACATCTTTTTTAGTTGAAAGGCATACTGTCCTACTGGGCATGTACGGATACGGGGCTACATTTGAACTAGGATCTTGTCAAAAATGATGGAAATGTGAACACAGAAAATCACCACTAGGTTTCAATCCACCGTACAGTACTATCTGGAAAGCATCTGATCGTCAAGAGCTTCATTTTTCTACATGACAGTGATCCCAAACACACCAACAACGCAGTGAAAGCATACTCGGGTAGAAAATTAAGCTGTACTATCAGTCATGGGTTGGCCTCTCCAGAGTGCAGATCAGAATTATTGAAGCAGAGTGGGATCAGTCAACATCCAAAGAAGAGCTTTGAATGTCCTGGAGAACTATTCCTGAAGACCACTTAAAGAAATTAGCAGAAAGCTTGCCTTTGAGAGTTCCGGCTGTGTTGATGAATATAAAGTGTTCACAGCAAATATTGACTTTTAAGCTCCTTAGAATTGCACACTCTCAGTTTTTGCCTCGTATACTGTTTTTCCACGTATGTTTTAACAAATCGCTGCACTTATTTCCCATTTTCCTTAAAAGGATAAAGAAATGAGGGGTGACTATTGGACAGTACTGTGTTGTTGCATAAATTTAAAAATTAAAAAGTTAAAAAGTTCGACTTTCTTGTCCTGCTGCAAACAGCAAATCAGCACTTTGTCCAGTGTAAACCTTACACTCACTTGTAATAATCAAACTAGAAAATGTCCTTTACATGCTACTATATTTAAAATGAGTACTTTTTTTCATATCTGTTGAGATTTGGAGTAAACAATGAAGAGTGAAGTGACCTGGAATGAAATTTTAAATGAGGGAAAGACCATTTGAGTATTTGCCTGCGTTTTTATCTTGTAGTTCAGAATTACCAACTGGTCTTGGAGTCGATGTCGATGTTTAATCAAGGTGCCCACACTGGACTTGACTGCATGTTGACGGACTGTTATTAACTGGAGTGCCTCATCATATACTGCAACCAGGTTCCCTTGCTGCTCCACTTTCATTAACTCATAGCTGTGTTTCATACGGTTACAGACATGACTGGGGGCTATTAAAAATATTAAAATCCAAAAACATTACTGCTCACTAATAAAAATCTCATTTTAACAAGTCATTTCTGTCTATAATTAAGCTTTAGGAATATTTTAAGGTGAAGAAATCTGCTTCTAACATAAGATTTTTTTCATGGATAGTGTCTGAATGTTGCTCTGCAATCAAAATAGATGAGAAATGATTTGTTTACACCTAGGCTATTTTTCATATTTTGCATGCTTGTAAGAATACAGGTGGTTTTGCTCTGTTTCGTTCAATGACGTGTCAAAAAGACAGCGACAAATGCTTTCTTTAAAATGTTTGATGCTGAAGGAAAGGATTAAACACGGGTGGTTATAAACTCTACAGACATCGTTTCCCCACATTTGTAAATGTTCTGTAATGTTCAGTTATCCTTAATTGTATCGTTATAACATAGACTTTAGTGTTTCTTACAAGATCAATCGTGTTATAATTGTACTTTTTGATGGGCATGTAAATGTGGGCTGCTCTGGCAACTGGGATCAAAGGGTCATTTGCACATCAGGCTCTAGTGCCACTTCAAAGCTCCCACCGTTTCACAAAAGCATCTCTGTGCCCGTGCAGCACATGGTGAGATGGGGAATCGCATCCAGTGCTGCTGCGGATTTCTGCCACATTACAATAATAAAACCGTGGCACGCACAGATGAGCGCAGTGAAGCACAGGTGTCCTCCAACCTTTGAACCGGAGCTGGCTGGGAGACCCGGCCAGAAAGAAAACCTTTCATGTGTCAAATTCAACCGTTGCTGTTCAGCCCAGCTTGGTTTAATGAGTGTTCATTAATGGGAGAGGGAGTTAGGCAGAGCTTGGGATGATAAATCCTTGAGGTGTCCACATATCGGCTACATCTGGGTTATTTAGTGCTCTTAGTGTTTATTTAGATTTATTAAAGCTGATGTTCCTTATGGGATTGGTTTTCATTCTTGGAGGTCCTTCCCTGTCGTCTCCCTCTGTCTTTATGGTCACTGTTAGAATAAATAAAACATAGAAACCAGTGCAAACATCTAATTTAAGCTTAATCTGTATCCTCGCTCTTTGCCCCCCTTTGACCTTCAGTTCCTGGAGCTTTAAACCCCTGAGAGCAACTTCCCCAGAGGCACCTCTCGCTCTCCCAGCAAGGTGTCCCTTTTGAGGCTGGTGCCTTTATTCACCACCTTGAACTTCACAGAGAGGCTCTTCACCTGAGTCGAACTTATGGAGTCGAAGAAGAAGTCCTCGTTAAAGACCGGGTTGCGGCTGTTCTTGATGATGTTGCTCCTTTGCTTCTGCAGCTTGCCCGGGTTCAGATAGACAGACACGCAGCAGTTGATGCTCTTCATGTCGAAGTGCTTGTCGTACAGACTCTCCGCCGCCAGGACGCGGATGAGAAGGCGGGAGGTGCTGGAGTCGTAGTTGACGCTGATCCGCACTGTCCCGCCTTTGTGCAGGTTGATGGTGTGCTCCTGATGGAGGCCGTGGTCCGAAGCTCCAGCGCCGCCGTGATAGGTGGGGACGTGGAGCCGTCGCTGGACGTTGGGGCTGGGCTCGGCCGAGCTGCACTCGTCGGTGGAGAGGGAGCTGTGGCGCGCGAAAGTCCGCTTGGCTTTCACCACTTTGGCCTGCGTCTCATGGGTGAAGATCTTGAGCAGGGACGCGGAGCGAGAGAGCAGAGGGGAGCTGAAAGGGGAGGACTCGGCTGAGGAGCAGGTGTCGCTCTCTCCGCCGCTGAAGTATCGGTAGGGATTCATGTGAGAGGTGTTAAAGTCAGCTGGATTCAGGTGGTTTCCCGTGTCGCTGCTTCTGCCCGGAGTCTTCCTCTGCGTATTTGGGGAGGTGATGGGACTGGTGAGCTCGCAGTGGAACAGCGACTCTTTACGGCGCGTGTGGGGGCTTTCCTTCAAGGTAGCAAACCCGTAGGACGTCTGGGTCTTGGGGACATAAGGCAGGGACATTGCAGTCTGCGACTGGGGGTCTGCGTTAGTGTCTCCAGCCACCACATCATCAGCACTCTCTATCTGTATAATGTGGCGGTTTGCAGCTCTCAGCAAGTTCTTGGTGTCTCCTGCGATCTTGGCTACCAAACGTGGGCTTCTCGGACTGCTGATCTTCCCACTACCGATGGTGTGCTCAGAAGTGGACGGGTGCAGGCCTTCTTTGGGCTTTACGGCGGGGATCTCGGGCTCTGGGGGGCAGCTCACCAACTTCGGAGGAATGAAAAAATCTGGGATCCTGTCGGGGGTGAGGACGTTGCTGTAGGTCGGGGTGCCACCCTTCTTGTCCCCGTTCTCCCCCTGTCGCAGAACACCACTCTCCACCGACCCGCGGATCTTATCCAGAACCCACATGGTCCCCACTGGAAAGTGGGATGTGTGGAGTAGGTGCAGTCAGGTGTGTCTGCAATTAATAACACACATGGGTGGGCGGGGAGAGGGAGAAGGGGGGGGGGGGGTAAACGATCAGAGCGTCACTCCACTGGAGAAGAGGGATAAAAATATCACCTGAGTGCTTTCGCGCTGAAACGCAGTCTGTGATTAGGACCGCAGGCGTTTACAGGAATAAGACTTGAGTAAACAGGAAATATTATAGCGTTATCACACTGAACCTGAGCTTAACTTTCTGTTTAGTGTCGAACATACGGACAAACCCTTCTTTAATAAGGTTTTCTAGGCTTATAAACAACAGGAGAGAATCCTTTGAACGGACAAAAGACAGAGCATTACTAAAAATAAAATAAAATAAATCCATCTACATTAAATCTCCAACACATGGAATAAAGTCTTTGTGTAGTTTTTAAATAACAGAGTGTCTTTACGGACTAACGCAATCAGTCTGCGGATAAATCAGCAACAAAGGATTTACTTCTCGATTTCCGATCGCACGGTCACGTTTTAATGAGCAAAATTTAAAAGTGCATTCTTTGAATTAGAAACTCTCCCTAATGATGTAACTGGAAACTTTTAATTTGCACTTATGCTTTAATCTAATTTAATTTCAGTTCCGGGAAGACGACAAGAAAAGAAAAGCTCACAAATATAAATTCTTTTACCAAATGCATTAATAACGCTCCTGCATATAGATATTCGATACGTTTCGACATTGAACGATCACATGAACTCGTTTTTTAAAGAGAAAACTCCGTAATGAAAAGACAGTTCAACAGGTGCCTGCATGTTTCCTCTGGTCTGCTTCGAAAAGCTCAATAATGTTGATATCTGTGCTATGTAATAAAATTATGATACTTACAGCAATGTAGAGGAAGACGCAGTCCTCTTTTTTTCCACTTTGCTTTCGTTTCTTCAGTAACAGGTGTGCTTTTTTCCCCCCTCTCTCTCTCACCTCGGATGAGTCTGTGCGCTCCGTGGCGCTACTCTGCGCCCTCAGACGGTCTCGGCTCCGGAGCGCCTGTGGTGCGTTTTATAGATGGCACACAGATGCAGCTGACCAATAAGATCAAACTGTGCGTTTCCGCAGAACCAGCTAGAAAGAACACCAGTTGCTCCTGTGAGGAAAGGAATCATACAGGTTGGGTTTACATGAGTCCCCAAGAGTCACTGCAGTTAACTGCCGGGGTTTTCTTTTTAACCTTTGCGCACAGCACTGAGGTTTTATGTTCCAATCATTCATTCTCTCTCTCTCTGCATATATCCAAATCTATATCTATAGAGATAGATATGTACATGGGGCTGTTTGACCAGAAAAAAGCACAAGCAGACAATGCAACGTGGAGCATATGCAACTGTGTGCTGGTCCAATTAACTTTAGACTGACCTTTTTTTAACTCTTCTTTTGTGTGTGTGTCTCTCTCCCTTCGCGTTTAACCCGACCTATTGGTCTCCCTGGAAACTTTGCTATGGCAACAAATACATTTGTCTAAAATAGGGCTGACTTCATTGATCTGCAGCACAAAAGGCACTTTATTTGTCCAGATTGCCTGGTTTTGAGTCAAGTGCCATACAGCCCGTGGACTGAGAGGGCTACGGCTGCTGCTGCTTTATCAGAGATCAGTAAATAGGCAGCAACACTAGACTGGCTCGCCAACTTAGAAATGTGCAGATGGAGAGTGTCCGTGTCTGGTGACTCCGACAAGCGCTTTGCAAACAAGTGATTAGCCAACATTTACCGTGCGCAGACCTGGAATAGGTGTCAGCATCTCTGCCTGTCTGTGCCTCAGGCGCATGGAAAACGAGCTTGATTGCCATGAGTCGTGTTGTTGCCCTTCTTGTCATAACTAATTGGGAGCTCACTGAGGGGAAACAGGCGCTCTACAGTAAACTAACAGCTATATTTGAACTCCGCGCTGAGTTCAAAGTGCATAAAAGGTTCTCCGTAGCCTGTCATGGATACATTATTTCTCTTCAACAAACTCAGAAAAAAGAATAATAATAATAATTAGACTAAATTCTCTTGCAGTGTCGGTTCTTAATGTGCTGAGGAGAAGCAGCCAAACATTAGCATGTCAACAAGTTCACGGTGACACTGAGGACACAACAGCAGATGCTTTGCAGACAGAGTTCAGCAGATATGAAGTCAAATGGATCTTACTAGCCGTCGAAGCGCTTCCTCAAATTGCAGGTCATTTTTACCTGGTGTATATAGCATAGGTATGGTTGAGGGTGACGGCAATCAATAGTTTAGTAAACAACGGATACAATAAAAAAAAAAACATGCAACCTTTGCATGGCAGCTGATAAAAGGCCGAGGGCATCATCAGATATTGTATTGAATAGTTTTGGAGTGGATGACGCACATTAATCCCCCTGCAAGGATTCAATACCTCATCAAATGTGTGTAATCGGAGTTGTGCAGGTGCTTTTGTTTTAAAATCAGAATTGATCGACACTGGTCTGTCAACATGTCGTGACATTTGAATTTAAATATTGCGGAATCCTTTTGAAACACGGGTGCAAGAAACCGCCATTCTTACTCGAGTGGCGGAGTGGACATAATTATACATCTCGTCTTAGGAGGTCCAGCCAGGGGTCACCGGCTGATGTAATCTGGAGGGGGCACTTACCATATAGATTGCAAAGATACATTTGAACCCTCATCCACTGCCTGCCAGAGCTGCCTGATCACCATAGAGACACTTGATGCCTCTTTAAGCAAAGCCCGTATTACAGTGGGAGGCTGTCAGTTTAGTAGGTGCGTAACGGAGAGCGTCAGAGCCTTAAACTACTTTCGATTTATTTTCTTTCTAAGAACTCATGTCTGTTTATAAACCAAACTACATGTCTGCACCATCTGGCTTCAGAGTTTATTTAAATGATTAACCAATTATCACATTTTCTGTCCACAGACTAATCAGGTAACCAAGGTTTGGACACTACAGCATAAATTAAAATGTGAATATATTACCTTAAAAGTGTAATAGAAAACGAGGCTCATTAAAACTGAAACTACCTCTTCTGAATGTGCTACTACTCTGTGCACAACTCCAGCCTCACACTGCGAACAGCTTCCTCTACAAAATAATGAGATCAATACACCAGCGGCGGAGAATCTACTGAGAAAAGGTTAATGTGTCTGTTCTGCTCTCATTAAGGGGCTGAACCCTACAACTCTGTCAGAAAATGTGAGGAACACTGAAGCTATTACAAACCTGACTGTACCAAAGTGGCCTGCCCCACTGAATAATGCAGAGCTGAGTCAGTGTGCTCGTGTTTGCTTGTTCTCTCTGTGGATGGACAGATGTACCGCCGAGGCTGTGACTAAAGGACAAACCCCCGAGTGTGTTTCAACACTGTGGCATCCTCTCTGCTGACGCTCGACTGGCTTCCTAGAAAGACGGGAGGGAGAAGTTGGAGCTGGTACACAGAAAGCTGCACCAAAGCTCTGCAGGAGGTTCAGTGCTCCTCCTCGTAGAGTCGCTTGTTCCGTCATCGCTTTGAGTGTGTTTACTCTTAGCATGTATGGCAACCCATTAGTGCCACAGCAGACACGCAATAGTGCGGTATGCTTCATCACTGTTCTTTGCCTGAAAAGGTTGCACAGACCTCCTTTTCACTGAAGAAGAAAAACAGCCATTCCCTGTTATTCATTCATCAAAGCTCTGCTGTAAAAGCTTTCAAGCCATGTAAATCAGGATCGAGGAGATCGCTAACATAAGATGCTGCACTACCTTCAGTAGAACTGGCTTCAGATACCATAGATTAGATTTGTTATTTCCTCTAAGAAATGCTAAAATCTCACAATGTTGTTTTTAATACTTTTTTACTGTCCTCTTCTTCCTGCTAATTACGTTCTTGTTATGGTTTCTGGTCGCAGGTCTCTCTTGTAAGAGAAATAAGATTAAGCGGCCCACTCTTTATTGTCGTCATCCATCCTTCTTCCCTCCTGCCAGCCTCTTCCCACCCTACAGACAGCTTCTGCCGCCTTATGCACAGACATAGCATCCCAATAACCAACTCTCTATCCTCTCACTCTCATCTCACATTTCGTCACCTCCTCCAGGCTGTCCATGCAGGTCACAGACGGCTCGAGCTCAGATGCTTGCCAGTTGGAGCAGAGTAACTGAGTAACGCACGTGGCTCGGGGTCACAGCGTGAAACCAGAGCCACTGTTCATGGCATCCAGCTCCTGCTCAGCAGCCTGCTTTTTCTGGTCCACTGAACTGGCATTTTGATTGGGTGGACGCAGGGCAAAAGGTCATACCCGTCGCCACAGGAAACACACCTGATCGGTTCGGCAGAAAAAATGGTGTATCGCCGTCAGAGGACATCTCGTGATCTAGGAGCATGGGAGAGCTTTAGCACATAAATGAGAAAAGTATACTCCTGTGTGCACTACTCTATTATTGATCGACATTTTTGTCAGCTGAAAGCTCCCGCATGGCATTTCAGATTCATGATTTTCATTTTCAAGCAGCATATTACAGACAGCCAAATGTGGGTCAACTCTACCAGAAAGCATAGCGTGGAGATAATAAACCATATAACTCAAGTGTAGGAAGAGAATATAAGGGTAGAGCATGTCAGCTATACAGTCCATTTCAACAGGCACGCTGGTTGATGAGAAAAGGGAAAATGACCAGATGATGCATTTGCACTTTTTTAAAGATGGTGAAATATTGAATATGGCACAGATTACTCTCAAGGATGCAAAGTGCCTCCAAGAAAGGTAGAAAAAAACATGTCAAAAGATAAGAAAAACAAGAAGGAAAAAGACAAAAAAAATCAGTTATTTAAAAACAAAAACTCCCTCAGGTTTGCGCAGACCACTGAAACGGCTCAAAGCTCACAAGAAGCAAGCTGATGCTGCCCCCTAGAGGCATTAAACAGAAACAAACTGAATTCATGGTGGAAAAAATATTGTTCAGATCTGCAAGTGCAGATCTTTATCCTCCCCTATTTGAACATGTGCAACTAAGACAGAAAACCAATGCAGGCTTGAGAGAAATACATCCACCACCACAGGCATCACTGAATGTCAGGGTGTTATTGCCCCACAATGAAATAAAACACCAGAAATAGAGCAAGATGTACTCACAGGAAGCCAGAAAGTAATTGCACTCTGTAGCAGGCACAATTACTGCACCACATACAACTTTCTTACCTCAGTTTACTTGCAGATTTCTATTGCAGATTTCTGTTCTAGATTAAATAGATTTTTTGGCAAGTGGTTGAGTTTTCCAAAAACATGGATATGTAGGGATATATCTTGTGTAAAGCTGCAAAGACACAGGCAGTGTTTCATTCAGAAAAGAGACAATTGAACATTTAAGGTTTATTAAAGGGTGTTAAAGTCACTTTCCTGTCTGTACAGACTTAAAAAAACTGAATAAGGCTATTTTATAAAGAAAAAAAAATCCATATATAGATGCATTTTTACCCTTTTTCCATTCACCATCACTTAGAAAAGTATCAGCTTGATTTATATCATACTTGTCGTGGATATTTACAACAGCAAACCCCAGAAAAGCATGAACTTCTTCATTAGTGAAATCATCTGCCTGATTTGTCTCCAACTTGATGATAACGCGTGAGTGATTATCAAACACCATTCAGGTACGTGATGCAGTATAAATAATACTGTGATCTGTTTATAAATTAGAAACGTCGTCGCTGAACTCCAGCTCAGGAGCAAGTCAGAATACTTTTATTTCTGGGTTTTGGTTATTTGCACACCTTTTTTTACTGACAGACCAAAGTCCTTGGTCTGAACACTGAATTATTCTCTTTCAGTACGACTGCAGATCACAGTAAACTTTTGAATACAAAGATTATAACATCTCAACTCTGCCAGTAAAGATTCTGCAAATCAGCCACACATGCTTCATATGACCACGGCATGAAAGGATAAAGAGGCACAGCCCTGATATTCCTGAAAGGTTTTAACACAAAAAAGTAAAACCAATTTTAGCCAGAAGCTGA